CCCTTGTATGTACAATTTTCAACTGAGAAAGAGAAACACAGCCCGAACACAAGCTATCAAGTACTGTAAGTATGTACAGAGAATCAAAACGCTGACCGCCAACACTTTACTGACTGATCCCAGGTTCCTCAGTTCCTCCCCGCAGCACCTTCTTGATTCTACTTCCAGCTAGTACTGACCGTGACCGCAGTAGAACAGCTTTGAGGCACAGTGTAGGATCTGTTCGGATCGCTCTCCCATGTCGCGGTCCCATCCGACGCCACATTGATGAACTTGTACTCGAAAGTCGTCCCAGCCGGTAGCGAGAGAGTGTAGGTCCACAAGTTGTTCGAGCTGGTGTACTGCGCCGCCGAAAGCGCCGGGGCCGATGCCACATTCCAGTTGCCGAGTGCAGCAATGGAACCCGCGACCTTGATTGTCTGGCCCGGAACCGTTTTGACAATTTCATTGAAAGTAACAGCCACAGTACTGGCGATCGCGCAAGTGCCGCTCGTAGCTGTCGCCGCGGCGCTGGTCGTGCGTGTCGAGGACGGCGAAGTGCTTCCCCCACCGCCGATGGCGATGTCGGCGCACGTGAGGTAGACCTGGCCGGTCTGGAACGAGTTCCAGCGCAGCGACAGCAGAGTGTGGTTGGAGACATAGTCGGGAATCTTGATCTTCTTGGTGACGGTGTACCCGCCGGCGATGGAGGTGTAGCAAGACCCCAGCGCGTTATTGTCGACGCCCTGGCACCCACGTCGGCTGCTCGCCTGGAACGCGTTGCAGGTGAACCAGTCGTTCCGCCAGCACGCCTGACCGGAGGTGCAGTCTGGGCTGTAGTCGCAGCTCTGGCCCGAGACATCGGTGCACTTGAGGGTGCCGGCCTGGAAGCAGTTCTCGGCGGCCTGCTTCTCGTCGTCGGTAGGGAGGTATCCGGGTGTGATGAACTTGTCGACGATGGACTGGTCTTGGCAGATGCGGTAGCTGAACATGCCGCCGTGGTCGCCATTGTTGTCGACGCACCACTGGACATCGACGGTCTGGCCGCGAGTGTAGGTCGCGACTACATTGCTACCCCAGTTGCTTCCGGGCTGGTTATAGTCGACGCTGACACGAGCATTGTAGCCGCAGGGACCGCTTCGTCCGACGGTGGCGGCTGTGAGGTCCGGCCATGCCGAGACGGGCTCCCGGATAGTGCACTCGGGGCAAGAATCTATGCCGGCCTACCGATGGTCTGTTAGCTCAATGCCGGAGTAGTCTTGGATACTACTTGTTGGGTTCTTACCTCATGCCCGAGACGAGTGCGGCTAGACGGGATCGTCAGATATCCATGTCCATAAACAGAGGAGATGAAGGTGGCAACTGCCAAGGTCGTGAATGACTTCATGTTGAATGGCTTGCAGGCGTCCTGTGAGAGATTTGGCCGTTCAAGATATCAACCTACAGCTACTTCCAGAAGCGATGCTCTATGTCTCTCACAACATCAGTGTGAGAGGAATCATCTTGGATTTATATATGTCAAATTTCACATTTGGTGTCCCACAGCGTCGCAGCTCATAGCATACTCACATGCTTCTATGATACTACTAGACATCTCACGATCCAACTTGCCCTTGCTACTCCCACCGGCACACATCACATCAAGCAACGCCGAAGTACCTCCAACCGAGACGGCCCTACCCGTAAACGTTTCCCCGAACCTAAACTCGACCTGGAAGTCCGGGGCATCTCCAAAATATCATGCAGGCGATGGCGGGGTAGCAAAGTTCTGTTAGTGCCGGCTGTCATATCTCCAACTGGCAACCACCGCGGGGTGAGTAGGCCCGCTGTGTGGCTAGCCACCCGAACGCCTACCTGCAATGGTTCACCTATGTAGACTTTGCATGCGCCCAACCCCGCGGTCCCTGATGTAGCACATGCAACACAAGAGAGTTCCTGATCTTGGCATGGTCGATGACACCCTACGCCCACGTTCAAGGCGGAGTTGTGCGGAGTCTTGAGGAGTTGAGGTAGCATTCCGCCCATACATCAGATGATGGGTCACGACGACCTCAAAATTGAATAGAAGGCCCGAAGATGAGGTCCTTCTCAGATCATGGCATGCACTCTGGTAAAGTTAAGCTCTGCCGCTGTCACATATGCTGCCGAAAAACGCCCGGCTCCTGCATACAGGTCATCGATCGCAGGCCAACTCATCTTACTATTGGTGGCTTAATCAAGTAATACTCTTATGCTTGTAAGGAGTCGTGTTTTGCAAACATGTTTCCTGTCTGTTCCTGAATGGTCAACCAGGTTCCTGTCTCTGTCGTAATTCTTGCATCGCATATCTTTGCATAGTTTTGGACGTTCTGGAAATAGGGCCATGCTGGTTCTGCTTGATCAGATACGATTTGAAAGCACATGCACTCCAATAATACCGGAGTTTGAACGACGTTGGTTTATTTCGACCGTCAATAGCACACATAATTCGGACTGATAGCGTCGCTAATCATACATATAGTGATCGGAGTAAGGTAGCTACCCACATCTCATATGACTGCTATCATCGCTTAGGTAGTTTTGAATAATTGCAATATCATCTGGGACCAGGATGAAATTACTTGCTCGCTTGAAACTCGAGCCTGGTTTACCGACTTAAGTGGCATCATGAGCGAAATTGTTGGCGTTCAATTCTTTTGAAGGAGATCAAGTCATCAGATGTATTGAGCCTCCTCAAGCAATTTGATATTTTGGTGTTTCGGTTCTGATCATAGTTCCTATCACGCTCATGTGTGACTTGATGGTTTCACATCTCCTACTCGAATCTGTCGAGTACGAAGTATAGGTCAAGCCCTTCATCTCAGGTTATCTAGCCCGCCCATACCTTCAGCTCTTATAACGGGCCGACTTCATGGTGGTGGTGTTGACGCATGAGATGCCATTGAGAAGTTGGTGTTGTGGCGGACCGATAGTCATGTAGACAATGATGTGTGTTGACGACTATGCTTCATCTGAGGTGCTTCAAGCCACTGCCGAGTCTTACCGCATTCCGATGGTATTCGTCCAGAGCCTTGTGGCAAACGCTTTCGGCACTATCGAGGCATACTGGAATTGCGTCTAGGTTCTCTAGAGGAAGGCACCTGCATCTCTGGCAATACCACTAAGCGGTCTAACTAGTCTCGACATATCTTACCTTTACCAGTATCTGGATGTTCTTTTGTAAAGATTATGTCGGGTTACAAGGGCCTCTTCCGTCGCTGTGCCTGTCTCAAGCTCTTCTTGCCGTTTGTGGACTTCGGCACTTGTCAATACTACCTGCATGATGCACTGCTAGTCACCATGGGCTGCCAAGCTCGTCAACAGGATCACTGCCGGTGCTATCCTTTCTTTGTGAGGCGCATAAATGCTCCTATAGTATTTGCCATTTTTTGCCACGTGCCAGGATGCGTTCAAGGGCAACATTGATCCAAGCTTGCATCCCTTCTTGAGAGGCATGTCTTGTGTTCAGCAACGCCCCGAAGCCTTGGTTTGCCTCTACACCTCAGCCTCATGGAAAACGTCGCCCTTTCCCCTAGGTTTCAAACATTGTCATTAGATGAAGTCGAAGGTATCACCATGGCCCTTTTCGACTGCAAATTATCCAAATCTCACCCCTAGCATCTAGTACTTTTAGTATCTTACAAACAATAGATTTGAAAGTACCCACCCACCTCTGTCAAAGCTACAGCAGGTAAGCGCCGCGAATACTCCATGTTGTGTGAAACGCTACGTCATGCGATGCATCAATTTGCGCTTTAATATAGATCACTTGGCGACGGCGTCTCTCATCGCGAAAGTCCCAATCTTCATAAACAAACCTAATTACGGGAAGGGAGAATCATTAATCTAGTTGGCTCTCAGCACAGACAGGTATGCGGTATCTACATAAATACTGTTCTGCCGAAGAGCGATACCGAGGCTTGAACGCAGCTTAGACTTTCTTTGGGACTATGCGACATCTGTGTTCGGGGCGAGATCACTGGCTGGCTGGTGTGTTTGCTCATTGCTTACATTTCGCCGCGGCTTCCCTGCTTTCAATGATGTTGATGGGAGCGAGATCCCAGAATCCCGCTGCCCGTATTTTGAGTTCACCTACTTCCACTCACCCGCGGTATCCAATAATAGCGATCGATGAGAACACAGCCGTAAGCTTTCTGGGATCTATCCCATCGTGCCAAGTTGTCACCCGAGCGTTTTCGCTCCAATCATCCCAAAAGGGCATCGTGGTGATCCGAACTGCCCTGTACGGGCCTGTTTGATATCCCTCGAACCTAAAAGATACATCCGAAGCTTAAGTTTTCAAATTGAAGCATTCAGTAGAGATATTTCGCATCAAATTCTGCAGTAGGTACATGTCTGCTGTTTTCTGCCTTGGGCAGCAGATTGAGACCTTATTGTGACTGGAAACTACATGCATGTCAACAGGTACATATACTCTCCCAGCCTAATGATATGTAGAGTTCCTGTTGGTGCGTTTCCATATCCCATCAAGCCTCCATGGCAACAAGAAGCCCAGCATTACCCCTTATCAAGTTAATCTGGGAGCCACTCTCGAAATGGCCGGTGTCCCAGTAGCCTGCTGTCTAACGCCTTTAGCACCTTTGCATCTGAACTCCTAAAGCCGTTAGAAGAGTGCCCGACCGTTGGGCTGCCATACTTTCAACTAGCGGAATTTTGAGACAAGCCACTGGAATACGAGCTCTGGCGATCATTCGTAGCCTCCAAGTCTTTTTTCTCTATCGCCAAAGGGCTAACTCTCTGGTATCATTTCTCGAGCGCGATGTTGCTGAGCGATTCATGTCATTGCCGCCTTAGCCGGTATATCTTTATTCGCGCTCCTGGCAATCTGCTGTCAGCATGAGGTGCCCGGAGCTGATGTAGAAATCCTCTTCAAATTGCATTGCTAGGTGGTTAATTAACCTGGTCCAGCGCACGTACTTAAGACCGTCGATGTTAATGGTGGAACCGGCGCCGGTCCGGCAAATGTCAACTGATTCCTGGTTCTCGGGTCTGTCCTGATCGAAAAGCAAAATCAACGAGGTTCGAGTCATTGTCTCCCAGTAAAATGGGTCGTCGGCCGCGGTTTATCAAGGACCCATCCGCGCGCGGCACACCCACATTACGTCTGGGAGTCCAAACAAGCACGGACAAGGCGATCGACAATCTGCTCGCGAGAAAAAGCCTCAGGGATGTATCACAAGATTTGCGCAGGCTTTTTCTGCCAGTCTTTGGGGGCAATCGAGGGCAGCCGTGGAGCCCATGATGCCCATGCAAAATTGTCTCTGGGGTTCGCTTACGACAGAGCAGGGGTGTTTTCTCGGGATGCTGCCAGGTCCGGTTCTGCGCATACATCTGACGCCTCACATCTGGTCGGGATTTCGGGGACTTAGGAATTGGCCGTGATTGTGAATATGTGATGAACGATGGATTCTGGTTGGAATTTGCATAGCAATGGTGTTTTGACAATTTTTCTTATGTCTGTCGATTACACTATGTTACTTCTATCATCGAAATCGTTTCTTCATACCATGTTATTGACCCTGTGCCGTCTATCATGGCCCGTAGTGTCTGGGATCGAGTGATTGTCACCCGTATCGTCGGGTCCGTTGTGTTGAATAACGTCCATCTCAAGGCCGTCGTCCTTGCCGACGATGTTCTCGGCCGAGCTGGCATAATTCTTTCGTGGCCCGGAACTGATTGTCTCGACGTTTGTTCCTCTGGTACCTTTCGTCCCCCTGCTGTTCTGCTTGTCTGGATTCGAGAGCCCAAGTGTAGATTTAGCCGCATGCCATGATCCCATGATGGCCGCATCAAGCACCGGTAGTGAGGCCGTCACGATGCCCATGGATATGTCGAGCACCGTCCATCTCAAGATGATGGTGTAGTCCCAGAAAATGTCAGTTGACGTGAATGGCTGCAGCTGTTGCAACAGGCCGCCAGTGACGGTCAGCCCTCCCGCAGCCCAGATGATGAAGAGCCTAATCTTCTTGCCTCTATCAATACGAATGCTCCACAAGATAATGATTGGTGTTGCGAGGAGGAGGACACTCTGCACCACGTGGATGATGCTGAGGACCTTCGCACTGAGGAACTGGTTTCCACACGTCGCTGGCTCTGCCAAGGCTCCTGCAAACTCTCTATCCCAAACAGCTCGTGGCGGATTGCAAAGGAAGATGCTCCAGAATAAGGCAGCAATGACATACGCAACAACCGTGACGAGGAAAATATCCGCAAGAATTCTCCACGTCCTATACGCCGTGTCGACGAGCCGTCTGATAAAGAGAGTGATGGATATCTTAATAATGCCGACCGTGGGGTAGTATAGTAGTCGACAGATGGTGAGGTAGTAGGAGTAGAACTGGTAGTCGTCGTAGGTGTTCTCCCAGGTGTGCGTGCCGCCTCCAGCGTCGACGACGACGAGGATCTGTAGTATCGGATATACCACTGCGAGAGTTGCCGCCGCTATGATAACCCAGTCGTCCCATCCAAACTTGGTTTGTGCTCCCCGTCCGCGAACCCAAAGTCTTCCTGCTGTCGGTACGATGATGGCGAGTAGGACAATGATCATTCCTGCAATGATGGCGCCCTGCTTAGACTCGTGGACGGCGTTCGCGGGCTCCTTTGCGGCGAAGAGGTAGCCCAGACTGGGGTCGAGTGTCGTAACGCCATACTGTCGGTAGATACCCCTGATGATGTTGTAGTCCCTCGTGTTGTTTGGCGGTTTTCCAATCTTCGCTGAGGTCGTTGCGTTCGACATTGCGAAGGGTAGGGGGTTTGGATTAGAGGTCAGGGGCAGGTCGGACTCGAAGTAACGGATCACCCGTACGGGGAGGGGGGAGGCCGGGCCGCTTTATGATATGAATTCGATCAGATGGAAGGTAGCAACATGGCGGAGAATCTGATGTATCATGGTGCGCAGTCTAGGTTGGTTTCATATCGTGGTTATCAAGATCAAGTTCCTTGATGAGTGATGGCCTAGCTCGCGTTAACCCCATATGGTGTGGATTAAGTCCCGGGAACGTGGGATGGGCTGAAAGGTCGAAGACTCATAGACTCGCAGTCTATCCGTAGTACCTAGTGTCATTACAAAAATTGCGCGACAATAGTGAACAGAGGGGAGCAGTATTGGGAAAGACGAGCCGCTGTTTTGGCTCGTGTTCCACCTAGGCCCGCGGTGGCCATCCAGCTCATAAATTAAGCGCAAGGTCAAGGTTGTCTTAGAGCGTGCAGCTGAAGTGGAGGGTGAGGCGATCTCGAGTCATGGCCCCTCCTTCACCCTATGCCGTCGGCAGCCTACCTTGCGACGCGAACGCCGGAAGGCCTGCGAGTTCGCGGCACAGGTCCAATGGTGAGCCCTGGGCGTCAAAGATCGGACAAGCCCAAAGCTGCAGTCAGAAACTCTGAAAAGAGGTTCCTCAGCGTTCCGGGATTTCCCCCTTCTTTAGCACGTCACGCCTCTGCCTTGTGCAGATGGACTGGCAAGGGATGACTTGCGGGCAAAGGCTTGGCTTGCGATCGGTTGGGAAACTGGTCCGTCGAGGGGAACATTCTCTCTCCACGGTGTTGGACCCAGTCTTGCCCAGTTCCCCGAGATTGCGTTCAAAAGTTCGTTGCTCCAATATTTGCAATTTGGAGCGTCCTGTTTGGCTTGATCCGAACCAACACAGAAACGAACCAAGCTCCGGTCGTTTAGCGTATATTAACAGTAGTTCTCGTTCGCAAGCCCTGCTTTAGAACTCGTTCTCGCCCTTTCTTTACTCGTCTGATGATGATGCGCGTTTGACCTGTTTGTGTGTTCCAGCCAGATAAATCTGTGCGCATCTAGCGCGCTCCTCTTCTCTGTTGTCTGGCGTGTGTCAAACTGCTTCAACGTCCCGCCACCCACAGGAATCATGGTCCGATTTGCGGGTTTCTCCGCGCTCGCGCTGGCCGCATCGGTCACGGCCGCCTCAAGTGCCGACAGTAGCTGCATCGGCGTCAACGCCGTCAGCTCCACGTGCAGACCTTCAGAGACGTTGCACAGTCGAGAATTCTTCTACGTCGGGGGCCAAAGCGCACCAGACCCCACGGGCAACATCACCATCGGCCAGCTCTACGTCGAGAAGCTCACCCCCATCCTCACGCTACGCTCGACCCCCTTGGTCTTCATCCACGGTGGCGGCATTCCGGGAACCACATGGCTCAATACCCCTGACAATCGTCCCGGGTGGGCGACCTACTTCCTGAAGCAAGGCTACCAGGTTTACCTCGTCGATGCTAACAGCATCGGCCGATCCACGGCCAACAACGCCGCCAACTTCACCATGGCCGTAGGCATGTCGGCCGAGTTTGTCGAGATGGGCTTCACCGGCGTCAAGAACTACAACACCTACCCCCAGTCCCAGCTTCACACGCAGTGGCCCGGCACGGGTATGCGCGGCGATCCCTTCTTTGACCAGTTCCAGCAGAGCTTCATCCCATACACAACCAGCCAGGTCTCCCAAGAGCTGGCCATGCGTACCGCTGGGTGTGAGCTTCTTTCCCTCATTGGCGCACAGTCTTACCTCATCTCCCACTCCCTGGGCTCCAAGTTCGCTATCGGCATCTCCAATGATTGTCCCCAGCATCTCGCCGGAAACATCAATGTTGAGCCCTCTACGATTCCCTTTCGCGCGTACGGCTATGGTCTGACCAGTACCGCGGCTAATCCATGGGGTCTGACGAACAGCCCCGTCGATTACGAGCCAGCAGTATCCAGCGCCGCGGAACTCAACGCCACTGTCGAATCTGTGGGTGAGCCATCATTAGCTCATCGTAACTGTTACCTTCAAAAGGAACCTGTCCGAAAACTTCCCAAGATCGCCAGCGTACCGTACCTGGCTTTGACCGGAGAGGCCAGTGTCCACATTACCTACGATCACTGTATCATCGATTATCTGAAGCAGGTGGGTGGCCAGCCGGAGTGGATCAAGCTTAGTGAAGTTGGGATCAAGGGCAATGGCCACTTCATGCACCTTGAAAAGAACAATCTCGACATCGCTCCTTTGGTCCACAAATGGATCAAGAAGCAGCAGCAATGGTGGTGGTGGTGATGACTGCGCTTTGCTGTGCAGCGGCTGGACTGAAGAGGATGTGTTACCTACCTACTTATGTAAATAACATATGCATACCTGTACATACACGCAGTAATCGTAATCCGATACCCTCGACTTCAATGTTGCAAAGATCACTAGACTGGATTCCCGGGCATTTAAATCGCCACACCACAAACATATCGGACTCTAGTTCGAGCCGTCTCTGCCTGCCGGACCAAGAGTGACCGCGCATATAAGCGCAGAGTCAGATCATCTTCATTATTTATGCTGCCGCGCTGCATATTGTGGATGTCTCAATATAAAGCTGTAAACTCTGCTAAGACGGCCCGCGGCTTCCCTACTATTTTTAGGTTCAGGACAAGGAAGTTTAACCACTGGAGTCTTTCCCCGGGAATAGCGAAGTTCCCACTTTGGAACAACTCGATCCAAGCTCCTCGGCAGTCTGAAGACAGCAGGCCAACAGCTGTTTCATCGACAGCTGCCATTTGCTGGCCTTGCGGCATCGAGTGTTTTGGCCCCCAGGAACGCTTCTCATGCCTAACTTCAGTTTTACAATAGCTATAAGAAGCACATGTCTTGAATCGCATGACAATGTGAGCTGCTGATCTGATCGGCTGATGCTGGCCGTACAAGTACGCAAAGGTGGGAAACGCGTGTGTCAATATGCCTGTGGCTAAAATAGGAAACAGTATTGAGAATTAAATTCGGTTCATGTTGGTAGCAATTGCTATCGAGTAGGGTACGATCTCTTCAGCCACACAATCTCCTTATGGGTAGTAATCTTGCGGAACATCGATAACACCGCTCATCCAGGTAGACCAGTCCTCAGGCTTAGTCTCATCCGCACCATACTTCAAGTGAGATATCAATAGTCTGTATCCGCCCTTCAACATAGGTATCGGGACAGACGCAGTCTCGACGTCCCACAACCTTGGAACAGGCCAGGAGTCAAACAAGCTAGTCACCGGCGCATTATTGTAGTTAACGTACAGGTTGCCCAATAACTCGGCGCCGGCGACTGTGCCGTTGACAGGCTGCGCTGTCTTGGTATAGTTCAGAGGTCTATTCTGATTGAATCCATACCATGTGGACTTGAAGTCTGTGTCTGCGCGAACAACGTCCAGCCTCTCAATCCGCACGGGCTGCATGCCGGCGTAGTAAAGGGTCAGCTCGGCGGGATCAATCTTGATGTAGTCCTGAATCCCGAAGCCGTCGGACGTGACAAGCTGTGGAGCTCCGAACACGGGATACTCGGTTACGGGTATGAGGACATTAGGCGGCACGGGATCGGTTCCCAAGCTTGGAGCAGCTGTGTAGTTGTACCCGGCCCCTTGGTATGGGATAGAAAGCTTTTCATTCCGGTCAGAGGAGATGGATATAAAGCCTGAGTAAAAAGGGATCATGAAAGCTCGGAGGTTTTGCGGCGGGACGATCTCCACGGAAATAGTCTTATTTTCACCAGGACCTAGAGTGACTATTGAACTTTCTGGGAAGTTGATAGTTGCTGCGAAAGGGAGAGAGGCAAGTCGTTGATAGACGTTGCTGAAGAATCCGACCTGGTCTGGGACGTCCGGATTAGGGTAGCGAGCCATGCCAGGGGCTGGGATGTGACCTAGGGTATACTTTGTGGCTTTGTCTGACGGGTTTGCAATATTGATAGAGTAGCTAGAACGGGCGACAACCTCATTGGGACCGAGATCAAACTGGCCGGGCGAGATGAATGAAGGATAGAAGATCGCATTGTAGGCGTCGACCAAGCCGGCTCCCTGATGAACAGGAGGCGAAACATCGTCACGGGTGGCGCGAGTTGTCGGCTTTGAGGTTGACTGGAGACGGTTGAGTATCTCGGTCACTGATAGCTCCGGGAATTGCGACTTCACGAGTGCGAGAACACCAGAAAGGTACGGAGTAGCCATTGAGGTGCCGCTGGCCAGCGCCCATCCTGATGCAGCAAGGGGCCAGGTCGACAGAATCTGGCCGCCAGGGGCACTGATCTGGGGCTTGAGGCTGAAATCCCACACAGGTCCTGGAGATGGAGGTTAGAATATCCCCTAGTTCCACCATCTTTCAACTTGGGAGCTTACCTGGACTGCTAAAGTTGTTCATCTGGCCGCCCCACGCTTGCCGTGTGAGCTGGGGGGTAGCAGTTCGAAATGTTACAGAGTATCCGCCTTTCAGAGATCCAACCTGGATCTTGTTGTTTGTCGTTGTACCGAAGTTACGCGCAGCATTTGGCAGGGTTGCACTGAATCCCTCCAAAAATGGGTTGTCAAGAACGTCCCTGTCAGGGTATGTCAGGATGTTGTTGAAGCCTGCGGTAGCTGCAACATCCTGAATCAAGGAGAGACCACAAAGTCCACGTCGAACTACGATCACGTAGTTCTCCTTTGAACCTGTGGCTTTGCTTGCAATGGCATCATAGTCGGCTGCCCGGCATCCGAAGTTGCCCTGGACGCCCCCATCGCCGACGTGCACCGCCGTTAGCGTGCGGTTCAGGGGGAAGGGGTAAAGACTTCCATAACGAATGACTTCACCATTTGAATCAATCAGCTCAAACGTCTGGAAAAGAGTGTTTTCGATGGAGCCGACTGCAATGGCAGCAGGGCTGTTGGCAGGCGCGTTGACTGCAAAGGGGAGGTTGGCTCCGTCATTGCCCGCAGCAGCCACGACAGCAATGCCGCTGTCCGTTAACTTCTGGATCAGGACGTGGTAAGGGTCGTTTGGCGAGTTGCCGACCGAGGAGAAACCGCCGATGGACATGCTGATGATCTGGGCTCCATCGCTGGCGGCGCGCATCATCGCGGCCACGAGTACATCGCTGCCGACGCCACCGGAGCAGCCGAAGACGCGGTACATACCCAGTGTTGCTTCGGGTGCGACGCCTACCATGCCTTTGAAGGTATCGTTGGAAGATGACTCCATGGCAATGATTCCTAAAATCGTCAGTTCGGCTTTAACATCGAAAGTTGAACGACAAATTACCTGAGACGTGACTGCCATGTCCACCCCCAACACACGCAGCCAGAGGATCTGCATCTTCAACTGGGGTACCGTATCCGTCGTACTCATCACCAACAAGATCATAGCCAAACGAAATTTTGCACCCAGATCCGAAACAGCCGCCGAGGGCAGGATGATAGTAGTCGACACCAGAGTCCAAGACGGCGATCTTGACTCCTTTTCCTTTGATGCCAGCAGCGTGTACACGGTCAACTCCAGTCATGGTGTGAGGGATATTGTAGTCCAAGTTGTTCTGGGGAATCTGCTGTCTCTTTGCTAGCTTACGAGAAGTATGCACCGAAGAGGATGACTCCGAGCGACTTTCATAATCGATGGCAAGAAGGGGCCGTGGTATGAACTGAACTGGGGAGACGTTGACAACTTCAGGTAGAGACTTCAACGCAGCGAGAGACTCATTGTTGTGAACATTCATCGAGATGCCATAGAAAAGTTCATGATTGGTGTATTCGTATCGCACATCGTAGGAGGTCAAGGATGAGAGCGCACGCTTAAATGCAACGTGGGTGTGTTCGTCCGAACGGCGGCCGAGACTTATTGGATCGCGAAGCTCAACCACAAATGCATTCGGAATGAGCTCCGGTTTGGGCCTGAGATTGCCCTCAAAGGCAGCAGCTTGGCTCCAAAAGAGCGCCAAGCTGGCAAGAACGAAGGGACGGTGCATTCTGGAAGAAGAGATACACCAACAGTGAGAAAGCGAGTGATGTTCAGTGAGCGTGCTGGGAACAAGATCTCCTGACGGTAGGCTATCTGTAATCCGACGAGAGACTTATATGTGAATGCGATCACCTGGTGTGAAGTTAATACTCCTTAACACCGCGGATTCCGCGGCGTGGTAAGAGATTGAACATTTGAGCCAATGCAGGGCAACGTCGCATTGCATCTTGAGGTTGTTCGTGATGTTATCAGACCCTGGTATGTTCTCGTATTCCCGCTCAGGCACGGCAATTGAGGAATATGCTTAACACAATAGGCAGCTCAATTAACCGTACGGTCACTAGGTATCTACGAATCGGCTCAATTCCAGATCATCACAGTGTCACTGTCCGATACCGCAATCTTCAATACCCAGGTGAAGAGAAGTAAGATCTCGTATACGCGGAAGACCCTGGAATTGCGCGATCAGACCTGCCTGATACAGCAATCTGTTATCGCGTGATCTATGCAACTGGCTGACATTCTAATCAAATATTCACAATCTTCGTACGCCAAGGTGAAGGCAATTTAGGAGTTGTCACATCACAAGAGCACCACAACTCCGCGCAAGCCGATAGATTTACGCATCATCTTACGAAGATTCTAGTAGCAGTGACTTTCATTGCTGAGTAGCTCAAGCATTTGAGCATGACAATGCACGATTGACCATCCAAAATTTCTGAAAAATGTAAGCGGGTGCTAAGCATCGTAGAAAATGTGGTGGCTAGCCGCTTGAGGAAAATCGTATAATAGCCAAAGTGTTCTGTAGTGGGATAGTCAATGTGTGTCTTGGTGAGAACTGACTTTAGGCGACTCCTTCTCCGTCGAGATGGTCATAAAGAGCTAGAATTAGTAAGTTTGGCGTAATTGTCAGCGTAAAGAACCCCAGACTTTGGTTTTCGCACTTCAATGCCTAATGGAAAAACCACTTGGAAAACTCCTTGTAAGTCATTTATCGAGTAGACCCCTATCATGAACTAGATCCAATGTCGTAACAAAATCTCATGTCAACTCATGAGTGGAGGTCAATAGCTCATGCTACAGTATCAATGCCCTTAAAACAATATCAAAGTCTTTTTACGCCTAAAGTAGGATTAAAATGTAGGACGGACCTAGCCGGCCAGTGACAGTAGAGACGGGATAGAAGTTGGTGGTCTACTTTGTCGACCATGTTTGGATCGCCCGAAGTTTCCAGCCGAAACATTCTTTAACACTATTGTAAATGCCTGATACCTTTTCGAACTTTCAATGGTTCACACAACTGACGCTTATTAATTGGATTTGATACTACATGTACTAAGCTTATTTACTCTGCCTCTCCAGAGTAAACCAAGTTGAATGGGCATAAACAGCACTCATTCGCAAATCCACCGACGCACTCTCCTTCTTGTAAGGTAGCAAAGGAGTGACAAGTACTGGGAAGACCACCCGTGATCGCGCGAAAACTTGTAACAATGAGGCCGATGGATAATAATCTTCATTCGCATAAAACGTCAACTCTCCAGTTTCAAGAGACTACAGCAGCCGTCATCACAGGCATCTAGAAATTCCATTCAACCATGACAATGACTCCATGTTATTGAGATAAAATCTGGAAGATAGCTCTAGAAAAGTATCATGAGCGACTGGCGGGTGATCGTCTCGCAAAAATGAAGGTATGGAGAGAAAACAGCCTTATCACGGGATAAAGGCAACACAGGTAACCTTAGCGAGAGTGCACTAGGATCCACTGGATGAATCCGAGTAGTCATTCCAACCTCCGCCAACTTCCTGTTAGTTGTTGACATAATCGCAACTTCAGGTGAATGCATTGAGGGCGGTGAGGTGATTATGCAAAGTGAAGTAGGGAAATGACGGAGACAAAGCATTTCCAAGCAATCTGTTCCCGGGACATTATCGAGCTCAGCCAACTTGGCAATCCACAAAGCCCCCTCCTCTCCCCTCGTCGAGAGCGGCCTCACAGCCCAGATGTAGGCACAGGCATACGAGTCCAGCTAGACCAAGAGCGAGCATCACTACCGGGGAATTGGCTGGAATGATTGGTGCGCATCTTCTACGAGCAACTTCGGTACTTGACTCCATTCCCCCGCACGAACCCCACAGCTCGAGGTCTTGGGGTTCACCGGAAACGAGCAAGTTTGTATGGCGGAGCTCGAGATAACATTGGCCCGGCTCCCGCAACCCCAATCTTATTTTCTTTCCATTTCGGCACAACCTTGTCGTCAAGTCCCGCGACTCTAATCATCATCATCGGCCAACGGTTGTTTGTTTGGAGCGCATACAGTTGCTGCGCAGCGGTACTCCCAGTCAGCGGCTGATTCGTGCTTCGCGCCATGGGAACTCCTCGTTGACACACCTAAGCCGTGCTTTCCATCGATAATGTTTCTCCAGGCTTCTCCAGTCTGGGGGAGCTGAGCCAGGGTTAAGAAGGTTATGGGGAGTCGCCACATGGCCGAGGTAACCGAGAGGGAGCTCATGGCTCGGGCAAGGTCGCATCGTGCAGCTTGCCACGGTCATCGGCCCCAGCTCAGTTACTCCTCTGGAACCAACCACATGGGTCAAGCAGTGAGGGACGTGATGTCCAATGCTACCTTATAAAAGGTGCTTTGCTTCTCGGTCCGGCGAGAAGGTGTCTTCCTATTCTCGCACACCTGTCTTCAGACGCGTCGCATCCCGCAGAGATCGTCGAGTTGTAGCAGCAGCCGTCATGATGCTCCGGTCCGCCCTCATCGCCGCCGTAGGCGCCCTCACTTGCGGATTTGCCTCTGCTCTTGAGACCTTCGAGCGCAACCTCATATTCCAGCCGCCTGACAACTACACGGACCCCCGCGTGCTGTACCCTCGCACAGTTCAGCTCGATGACGGTCGCCTCCTGGGGACTTGGGAGAACTACTCACCGGAGCCTCCTCTGGTCTGGTTCCCCATCTACGAGTCCTTAGATGGTGGCCTCACTTGGGAGGAAGTTGGCCAGGTTCATGATCAGGTCAACAACTGGGGCTTGCGTTACCAGCCATTCCTGTACGAGCTCCGCGAGGACTTTGCAGGCTTCCCTGCTGGAACCGTGCTCCTGGCCGGTAATAGCATTCCCACTGACCTCAGCGAAACCCAAATCGACCTGTATGCTTCTCAGGACAAGGGCCGCACTTGGGAGTTCCTCTCCCACGTTGCCCGCGGTGGTCGTGCCATTCCCAACAACGAGGAGACTCCCGTCTGGGAGCCTTTCATTCTGTAAGTCATGAGCAATTCGAACCGCATTGCACTTAGTTGAGCTTTACTAACATCGACTGTAGCATCTTCGAGGATGACCTCATCCTTTACTACGCCGACCAGCGCTCGGCCGAGCACGGCCAGGAAATCTCCCACCAGACCACCAAAGACCTCAAGAACTGGTCCGCCGTCGTGACCGATGTCTCTTACCCAACATACACCGACCGCCCCGGCATGCCCTTCGTCACGCAGCTCGCCAACGGCGACTATATGTACACCTTTGAATGGGGCGGCGCACCCATCATCCCGACCTACGCGTTCCCCATCTACTACCGTATCGCAAAGGACCCCCGCAAGTTCGCCGATGCCCCTGACATGTACATCAACAGCACCAATGGTGGTGTCTTCCCCATTAACAGCCCTAACGTTGTCTGGTCTCCTGTCGGTGGTTGCAACGGTACTATTGTCGTGTCAAGCAACAGCGCCCCTCTCTTCATCAACCGGCGCGGCGGTGACCCGAGCGCGTGGGTCGCATACGATTCCCCTGAGGCCGGTGCATACACCCGTAACCTGCGTATCATGGAAGAGGATCCTGATTACCTTCTCATAATGGGTGCCGGCGTCCTGCCTCCCAGCACCACTAACAAGGTTACCGTCAGCATGCTGAAGCTTACCGAGCTGTTGGGTCTCAAGCAGGCATGAGGATTGCCAAAAATCCATGTAAATAACAAAAGTTCGGGTCGGTCATTTGAAAAACGTGCCCTATGCTCACACGACAAGTACATACACGCGATCAACGCCATAATGAGACATTGTTAAATGATTGACATGTATTCACCAGCCGCTACGGATTGCTCGCGTCGCGGTTTCCGCTTCTTCGCACCGGGCATGTGTCTCCGATGTGGTCTCTGCCTCCTGGTGACGTAATTTGCCTACCGGATATTACCTCCTGGCGGACCTCCAAGTATGTGTCTGCATGTGACTGAAATGTGTTTGTACTTTCAGAAGTGACATGCAATGGCAGTGCCTCCAATTCGAAAACAACTGCTCGATCAGAGAGGACGAACCCAAAGGAACCGGGAAAATTCGCAGACATGGACAAAGCAATGCGGTGGTCTCACTCAGGTCCTGAGAATAACAGCCGAGAGACCAGCAACCTTGGTCAACTTTTCCGCCGTCCTCTAGCTTCATAGACCGGGCTTCGTATGGACGGAAGTTTCGATGTGTTCCTGGGTTGCCCCGGACATGCGGGCCGTTGGAGGTGGCGCAACTCCCCGCATGGAAAACCCTACCACGTCTTAGTCCGTCTTGGGAGACAAGGGACGAACAGGTGGTTAGCCGACAAACGCGGGGCTCATGAGCGGGGAAGAACTAACAGCTCAAGGTTCGGATGGAGATGCGGTGAAAGAGCCAATGTCTGCCACTCTCGAGCAGTTTCCACCCTGCTCTCCTGTGTGTTCAAGCTTGACGACCAGAGATGGTGCAAGATACATGCATGCACGTCATATCCTGTTATCCAATCCCATATCCGTGGACTGACGAACTCATACTCGTATAGTTGGGGTAAGAGAGGGGGAAATTGAGATTGCAATGAGACTGCTGCGCTGCCAGGTGCTGGTCAACCATTCAGATCCCAGCAATGCCGATGATCCCGCCGCTACGTGGAGTTCAAGGTTGGGGATGGTGACATTTCCGGTCCGTCGCTTGTACAGGCCGGAACTCTGTTGTCTTTCGTCAAATAGCAACCGGTCCCTCGCCGCG